TAATCATGTGATTCACATTAATGCCCTACTACAGAATAATAGTTCTAGGTGTTACTATGTTACTGCAATTAGTTAAAACAGTAACATATGACCTAGATATAATTTACTACTCTGTGTAGAGTACAGTAAAGCACTGAATATTTCTAATCTGTGCCTTTGTGGTGTAAAAATGCATATAATCTAGGCTGACGTGCAACTCAATTTCACCAAACACAGTGCTGCCAACCACATTATATCAAATCATCAATTACAGAGTAGCTGTGAACATCAATAAAATATATCCAGAATATACTTTGCAATACAGTCTTAGGCATCTACAAATGTTTTTAATGGAAGACATTTCCTTTTTTTCTTAATTCCTGTTCACTGGATTAATTATTCAGTAAGTATAAACTCCCTTACTTTCCAAACACAAGGTTAAATCTTTGATAATATCTCAGGGGAACCTATTCTATGTATAGATTTCTCAAAAAAATATTTGAAAGGTACAGAACAAGGTCTAACAATCTAATAAAAAAAAAAATTGTCACAGTTTGTAAACTGTACTTCATATTGTGGCAAAATATCAGGGTATCAAAAATCATAAATGTATTTAAACTGTAACATACTTTCAAAAAGTGTTTAGCTGAAACATTTGAAAACAAAGGGAAAAAAAAACTCTGAGCCTTGATAAACTGGACCAAACCAGAAAGCTGTACAAGCAAGGCAAGTTTTGTTTAATCATGTACTAAGCCATTCTTAAAAGCATGCACAGGTGCAAACTCTCTGCAAACTTTATCTGTAGCATTTGTATATCAGCTGGACTTCACATATTATGTCTCATGTCCCTTCATGGTTGCAAGGAAAAAGTCATTCTCATACCTTACCATATAAGTCTCTGCAAAGCATATTGTAATATGACGACAATGAAGGCATATCCTAAAGAATGCTCTTAGTAAAACACCTTCTGCTTTTAAAGTTTGTAGTCCTATTACTCTGTATGGATACATACTATGATGAACTCAATCATAACAAAATGGGAAAGAGGAGTTTCATATGATGCACACACACAAAAAAGTCTGTGTGTGTATGTGTGTGTGTGTGTGTGTGTGTGTGTGTGTGTGTGTGTGTGTGTGTGTGTGTTTGTGTGTGTGTGTGTGTTTGTGTGTGTGTGTGGTGTGTGCTTGTGCGTGTGGTGTGTGCTTGTGCGTGTGTGTGCGCGTGTGCGTGTGCATGTGCGTGTGTGTGTATGTGTGTGAGTATGTGTGTGAGTATGTGTGTGTGTATGTGTGTGCGTATGTGTGTGCTTGCATACGTGTGTGTGTGTGTGTGTGTGTGTGTGTGTGTGTGTGTGTGTGTGTGTGTGTGTGTGTGTGTGTGTGTGTGTGTGTGTGTAAGTATGTGTATGTGTGTATGTGTGTGTATGTGTGTGTATGTGTGTGTAAGTGTATGTATGTATGAATACATATATACATATACATATATATATATATATATATATATATATATATATATATATATATATATATATATATATGTATGTATGTATGTATGTATATATATATATATATATATATATATATATATATATATATATATATATATATATATATATATATATATATATATATGTATGTATATGTATATATATATATGTATATGTATATATATATATATATATATATATATATATATATATAAAAATATATATATATATATATATATATATGTATGTATGTATGTATGTATGTATGTATGTATGTATGTATGTATATATATATATATATATATATATATATATATATATATATATATATATATATATATATATATATACATATATACATATATACATATATATATATATATATATATATATATATATATATATATATATATATATATATATATATATATATATATATGTATATATGTATATGTATATATATATATATATATATATATATATATATATATATATATATATATATATATATATATACATACATACATACATACATACATACATACATACATACATACATACATATATATATATATATATATATATATATATATATATATATATATATATATACATACATAAATACATAAATACATAAATAAATAAATACATAAATACATATATATATATATATATATATATATATATATATATATATATATATATATATATATATATATATATATATATATATATATATATATACGTATATATATATATATATATATATATATATATATATATATATATATATATATATATATATATATATATATATATATACATACGTATATATATATATATATATATATATATATATATATATATATATATATATATATATATATATATATATATATATATATATATATATATATATATATATATATATATATATATATATATATATATATATATATATATATATATATATATATATATATATATATATATATATATATATATATATATATATATATATATATATATATATATATATATATATATATATATATATATATATATATATATATATATGTATATATATATATATATATATATGTATGTATATATATATATATATATATATATATATATATATATATATATATATATATATATATATATATATATATATATATATATATATATATATATATACATATATATATATATATATATATATATATATATATATATATATATATATATATATATATATATATATATATATATATATATATATATATATATATATATATATATATATATATATATATATATATATATATATATATATATATATATATATATATATATATATATATATATATATATATATATATATATATATATATACTATACATACATACATATATATATATATATATATATATATATATATATATATATATATATATATATATATATACATACATACATACATATATATATATATATATATATATATATATATATATATATATATATATATATATATATATATATATATATATACATACATCTATATATATATATACATACATACATACATACATATATATATATATATATATATATATATATATATATATATATATATATATATATATATATATATATATATATATATATATATATATATATATATATATACATACAGATATATATACACACCCACAAAAGACACATATATTTATGCTGGTTAGTATGTAATGCCCTCGTCTTAAATCTACTTTATCAACTTTAATGATCTAAAAGAAAAAAAAAAAGAAATTAATATTTGTTCAAAAGAAACAAAAACATACAAAAGAAATATACCTTAGTATAGCTTTGTTGTCAATAATCAACTAAATATGCAATTTGGTTTTAAGAGATAGTGTAACATGCCATGTAACTTATCAAACATTCTGCACATGGAATGGCCAAATCTGTTAATATTAGTACTATTAACCAAAAGTTAGATTTTTAGGCAATTGTGATTATCTCATTCAACACATAAAAATAAGACACATAAAAATAAGAAAGAAATCATAATAATAAATGCACTGATAATGGAAATACCTACCAAGATATATGTATATGTGTGTGTGTGTGTGTGTGTGTGTGTGTGTGTGTGTGTGTGTGTGTGTGTGTGTGTGTGTGTGTGTGTGTGTGTGTGTGTGTGTATGTATGTGTATGTATGTATGTGTATGTATGTGTATGTATGTGTATGTATGTGTATGTATGTGTGTATGTGTGTATGTGTGTATGTGTGTATGTGTGTATGTATGTGTATATGTATGTGTATATGTGTGTGTGTATGTGTGTGTGTATGTATATATGTGTATGTACATGTGTATGTATATATATATATGTATATATATGTATGTAGAGTATATATATATTTATGTATATATATGTATATATAAATATATATAAATATATATATATATGTATATAAAAATATATATAAATATATATATATACATATACATATATAAACATATATATATATATATATATATATATATATATATATATATATTAACCATGTTGCTCACTTGATAGTTCTTGACATGCACAACTAGCCATTTTTTATCACTATTTTTGCTAAATAATACTGCTATTAAAGTAATATATCAGGAAAAATAATAACTTGTTTCATCCTGAGAACTATTACTGAAAACCTCTTCCAATTGAAAATCATTTCTGTAGATAACATGCAAAAATAACAAGCCTTGTTTCTCATCAAGTGAAATGAACCAACAAGGCTTAATGCCACTTTCATCTGCCAAGAGGCACACTGCAGATCTACAATATTTAGAAAACAAACACAACCACACACATGACTTAGAGTACAGAAACTTAAGGCTAAAGAATTGAACACTTTTGTTAGATAACAAATAATAATGGTTAGCTAATGTGCACAAAGTTGCCTTGCCCTCACTAATCCATGCTTGACGGAATGTTGGTCTTTGGCAGGAGGGGGATGGGACAGTCTCATAACCATTTGTTTCTGGTACATATGTAAAGCTATTTTTGACATTTTGTCTTATTAATTTTAATGACTTGTGCCACTGAATTATATCATACTCATTAAAGTTTTAGAATTTTGCAATAAAAGTACTGAACAAATGTTTACCATATATCACTCTTAGGTAGTGTAGAAAATGCCTACTTTATAGAAATGGAAACAATATTGTTACAAATTTTCACAGGTAACACTACAAGATAAGTATAACAGTAAGGCATTGTTGAAAAAGTTAAAATCTTGCATAGAATTTTATAAACTATAAGATATATATGTGCACATAGTTGCAAACAGAATTAATGCAATGCAAGGGGCAGATGGGGGAGGGTGGAAGGTAGACAAGTCAATGCAAAAGATTAGTGAGGGCATTCACAGTTGATTATCTTTACCCTCAGCAGCCGAGCAAACTCCGCCTCCTCTTCCTCCTGAAATCAAAATGTTTGGAGAGTGTCAACACAGAGCATATACCAAGTGCAGTGACCC